CACTCCCGAGTCGGCTCCGCACCAATCGCAACCATCACCGAGCCATCTTCGCCCTACCTCTTCGCCTAGCTAGGATTTCCCCTACTTCATTGTTTCGTCATTCAGTAGTTCTCATTCTCGTTATTCGATATTCTGCGCACTCTGACAAGTTCATTAATAACAACTATTGACCCTTTTGTGGGCATTCATTTATAAGCCCGGGTCCTTATTGTGATTTTAAGGGCGTTTTCATAGAAGCCCGTGTTACATCTAGCCCTGTTTTGTCATCCACGTAAGCATGCTGCAAAAAAATTACATCGAGGGCAAAGCTTTGCCGCATATGTGTTTTCGGAAGCACCGGAAACACTTCAACCGTCCGATTTTGTCTTAGCTGGCGGTACAGTCAGTCGAGCAGCAATGTGGACCACCCACTGGCTGCCTTGCATTCACCTCGGAGCGCAGTGAACGGATGTGCTGCCGAAGCTGCACCCCAAAGTGCCGAACCAACCCTCGAACGACGGCTCTTTCGCTGGGTGTTTGTAGAAATGGTCACTTGACGACCATTTCTCTTCAGTCACAACTTGTTTGCTTCACACGCTCTTTCAGTCACTCGCAGAGACTTTCCCCTCATGCGTGTGAGAACCCTCGTTGCTCGAATGGACTCAATCAATCCTGAAACGGTGGTTGCCGTGGCTCTTGCTGCTGCCACGGCATTCGGAAACGCAGCGAGGTACCTGTGGGAGGTACCGAGCTGGTTGGAGTGCCCGGCACTCAACCCGCTTCCCTTTGATTGCCTCCACGAATACACGGCGGCTGATGACGCTCAGCTGAGAGCAGCACCGGCTGAAGTCAGCGTGAGCGAGGAGCTGCTGCTCCTGTCTAAACTCACCGTAAGCTCCGCCGAGTTTATTACGGAATGGACTACTGAGGATGAGGCTTATCTGAGAGCGCCTGTCACAATTCGTTGTGCCACACTAACTGTGAGTGACGAACTGCTGCTCTTCGCAAGTAACTCTGTTAACTCTGCTGATTTCATCACACCTGAGTGGACGGATGAGGATGATAAATATTTGAGAAGCGGATTATTGAAACCGCACGATGGATGGACCATTGCCAAATGGGTGTCGCAGTATGATTCGTTTAACACGGCCGAATTTGTCACTGAATGGACGGAAGCGGACGAGGCGAATTTGCGAAATCAGCTGATCCCGAGACCTGTGGAATGCAAAGCAATGACCTCCGCGGAGGTTGCTTTTAAGATGGGTCGGTTTGTTGTTGATGAGAACAAGAAGCGCCGAGAAAACCGCTTTGGAGCGCGGCTGGGCTTCTCACCTTTGAGGCCCGCCTTCGCTACCGCTGTTGCCTCTGCTGTGAGCACGCTGGCTGCTGCTGCAAGTGCTGCTGCTGATGCTCTTGGCGCTGCTGTTGCTGCTGCTGTGCCTGTGGTGGCTGCTGCTGCTGCGGATGCCGTTGCTGACGCCATTGCTGGCGCCGCTTCTGCTGCTTCTGCTGCTATGCCTGCTGCTGCTTCACCTAAAAAAGAGGTTTGCAAGCCATCAGCACGATCAGCAGCGAAACCAGCAGCACCATCAGCAGATAAATCATCAGCTGTTGCTGCGTGCAAGCCATCAGCACGATCAGCAGCGAAACCAGCTCGGTCAGTGGCGAAGGCAGCAGCACCATCAGCAGCTAAATCAGCACCATCAGCAGCACCATCAGCAGCTCGGTCAGTGGCGAAGGCAGCAGCCCCTTCAGCAGCTGAAGTTACGGCTGTGGTAAAGCCTGCTGCGTGCAAGCCATCAGCACGCGCAGCAGCTTCGCTAGCAGGACGAGAAACGGTGAAAGCAGCAGCGAAATCAGCCACACAGCAGGCAGTGAAGCCGCCTGTGAAGGCAGCAGCCTGTGGCACAGCAAGGAGTGGGATCGGGAAGGGAGAAGCAACCAAGGTTGGTGGTGCTGCTGAGAAGAGATCCGGATGTATGGGTAAGGTGGTGGAAGTGAGAGCTAAGCAGGCAGCAAGCAAGCTCTCAGAAGCAAAGATGAGACGCGCTGCTCCTGCTGCCTCTGGCGGGGCTGCTGCTGCCACGAGCAGATTGAGAAATAGGCCAGTTTCAGCTGTGAGGGGGGAGGGGAAGAAGGGAGTGCAGGCAGCAGTAGGGAGCAACAGTGAGCTGCGAGGCCAGACTGCAACAGCAGCCTCACAGAAACAGCAGTCCCAACAACCCAGGTGGCGGTGACAAATGTGATTTGTTCTTAGTTACTGTATAGGAACAGTTGTACCTTGTATCATATGATTTACTGATAGGGCTAAGTTTGTTACGTGTTGGTCCATGTAATGTAAATGCTATCATGAGTATTTATGTGTATATATCACAAAATTATGACACAAGTTGCAAGAGCTAAGGAGTTTGGTTTGTGTATGGGCTGTTGATCGTGTTGTTTGGTGCAGTTGAGGGGCGGACTGCATGGGTATGTCTCACATTGTTTGCATGCATGGTTGTTCATGCCACTAGAGGCGCTTGTATGCATGAATGTGTCAGTTGGCATGAGTGTGTCAGGTGGCGTGATTGTGTCAGTTGGCATGAATGTGTCAGTTGGCATGACTGAGTCAGTTGGCATGATCTCTTTGACATAATGTTCAATCGCCTCCCCAACGAGGCACTTCCTTCTTCTTCCCCTTTGAAATGCATGTGGCGCTCTGTGAGATTATGCTGTGCTGCTGACTCTGTATGCCTTTCTGTGGGCTTTCAAGCATCACCAGTAAGCACTGTGACCGTAATTGCAGCTCATAGCTTGAGAATCATGACTCACATTACTTCACTCACGCCCCATATCCCTTACCTTATTTGCCATGAATGTGCTGCATGGCATGAATGTGGTGATTGTAATGAATGTGTTGCTTCACACAATCTCCTTCACACTATGTTTCCTTCTACATCCCCTGTGAAATGCATGTACCACATTGTGAAAGCATGCCTGCCACTTTTTTTTTTCTCATGCATGTTGCTGTGGGCTTTCAATACAAGCTTCTCCAGAAAGCATTGTGACCGTGATTGCTGCTCAGGGCTTCAAAACCATGACTTGATTGTCTTTCCGCATGCCCATACCCTTTACCTCACCTCTCACCCTTTCAATTCAATGCCCCTTGCCCTTGCCCCTCCCTCTCCGCCTTCCTTCCCCCTCCCCATGCCCCTCGCCCTCGCCATCCTCTCCCTCCCGCTCCCCCTCCGTCAGTGAGGCAAAGTAGCGGAGGTTGGGGTGGGCAACCTTTCACTGGATGCGACTCTGACTGCATCTCACACTCACCCGCTTTCACTGCTCTCTGCTATCCCGCACCGAGGTGAGCTTCGGTGAAATTTGACAAGACACAAAATCACTTTGCAATATCAATCGTGTGCGAATGCGGCTACTTCTGACGCGAGCTTGAAACATGAAGATGCTGAACAGAAACGGGAGAAGATGAGTCCGTTTTGAGCTGGGACTGATCCTTGTATCATTCTGAATTCCCAAGTTCTGTTTTGTACCGTGCCAAATCAGTTTCTACACATCAAATTTGGAGCTGTTCAGGTCAGTATTCAGGTATCAGGTCAGTTTTCAGGTCTCAGGTCAGCATTCAGGTATCAGGTCGGTATTTAGGTACCAGGTTAATATTTGTGTATCAAGTGACAGGTCAGTTTTCGGTTTCGGTATCAGGCCAGCATTCAGGTATCAGGTTAGTATTCAGGTTTCCAGTCTGTATTCAGGTGTCAGGCCAGCATTCAGGTGTCGGGTCAGTATTCTGGTACAAATCTCTGAGAGGCTGAAAGGAAACAATATCCTGAGTGGACGCAATTAACTTTAAACAAGGCACTGGGAGCTGGGGGCTTGACTGACAAACTGCTTCCGTTCAAGCTGTAATGCAGCAGTGGGGGAGGAACGGGGAAGGGGGAGTGTCACTGTTTTGTTGACAAGATGTGATCCTTCTTTCTGCTTCTTGCATTTTTCAACTGCCTCTATTCTATTGCATCCAATTCAGCGATTGTCATGGACTGATATGATTTTCTTCGAAGTGCAGCACCTTTTTTTTGTCTGTAGTTGTTTCATCTTCAATTTTTGCTAATTCCAGTTCCATTTATCCCTGGCATGTCATGTCAAATCACTGTTCAAACAAAGAGCCATCAAGCTTAGCTAACCATGTGCTGCTTGGTAACTTGTATGCACTTCCTTAGCACTAGGCTATTTTAATTTGCCAAGCATGCAGTTCCTTCTACTTCTCCTGTAAACTGTCTGTGACCACTATGGCTGCTCAGGCCTTTTGAATCATGTCTGAACCATCACCTTGTGCCCTGTTTCCCATTCCTCACATCACCACTCACTCTCTCCCCGTCCCTCTTGCTCACGCTCTACCTGTTCCTCCCTGGCCCCTCTCCCTGAAAGTGCATGGCTGAGAGGACTAACGCTCGGCCCTGACCGCACTCAGGAGCGCCTTGATGAACTGAGAGACAGACAACCACGCAAGCTCACTTGAACCACAGCATTGACAGTCGAGCGCGATTTCCCTCAGCACACCAACACCATCGCCAGCAGCACAGATAGGTTGCGGACAGGCCAGGGCTGCACAATGGTCAGGGACATGTGAGGGACAGGTTAGGAAAGGTTTGGGACAGATGGACAGGTCAGGGACAGATGGACAGGTCAGGAATAGATGGACAGGTCAGGAATAGATGGACAGGTCAGGAATAGATGGACAGGTCAGGGATAGGCATGGGACAGCTTGGGGCCTTGTGCTGGCGCCGGTTACCTCACTACCAAGTGCCATTCGAGGGTTTGTTGATATTGTACCGTATGTGTTTGTCATTGGAGTCTTAATGTTGTTTTGGAAGTGCCATATTGTACCAAATGTACATTAAGATATACGGTAGCAAGATGCGGCCTCCTCTACTCGGAATGCCAATTGGCATCTACACTCCAACCAACCAGCTATTCTGCTCCTCAGAGCTGCTGAGATGCATCCACCACTATCCAGAACGCACAATGATTCTCTATCCTGCCGTGCCCATGGCCATGGCCATGGCTGCCACGTCAGCTTCACTGAGGAGAGTGGCAGTTGCGCCGCCCATTGATGCCGCCCGGTCAAACGGCTGTGCCATGCGCCGCAGAAACTATGGGGGGATGAAGAGGCCGAGGGAGGGAGGGAGGGGAGGAGGTGGAGTGGGAAGCAGAAAGGTGGGTGGGGGGTGAAAGAGGGGGTTAAGGTGTGGTTGGGTGTGAGAAATGATGGTGATGGTTGCTGGTCAACTCTGCTGAAATGATTGACCAATTTGAAAGCACAACCAACAGTGAGCTACTGTTCCCATAGAAGAGGGGGAGGAGGGGGGGGGTGGTTGAAGACGTTGCAAGTGAGTGCTGAAGTCAAAGAATTTACACGAGCACAAAGAGTGAACACAAGCACACGAGCACATACCCAGGCCTTGCCTCCTTCACATTCCACTCCCACCTCACCTCCCTGGCGATGTGCACGCCTCACCTCCCTGGCGATGTGCACGGCCATGTCGGTGGAGAGGTTGAGGTGCCCGTCGGGCAGCTGTGAGACTATCCACCCCGGCAGCTTGCTGCGCTTGTCATGCCGGTTGTACCTGGGGGGCAGGAAGGGGGGGAGGTGGGGGGGGTGGAGGGCGAGATGGGTTGGGAATAAGGGTGACAGTTTGATTGGTGGGTGGACTTAAGAGTGAACAAGCTGCAAAGTGGGAGGGAGGAGGTAAGTGAAACTCATCCTTTCAATAGCACTGCTGATGATCACTGCACATCGGCGAATATTGTTAGGGCGTATTCCTAGCTTCGGGTCATCCGGTGTTTGTGTCATCCGAAAATTGTGGTAGCCAATTGGAAAACCCGCGGTTCGGAATTCGAATTTTTCGATTGGATACCGCAAATTTCGGATGACATGAAGCGGGGATGACCCGAAGCCAGGAATACGCCCTTACACCATACTGCCAGCGCTCACCGCTTGTCAGCAAATATCATGATGCCATAGTCGGACTTGGACCGGATGACCCGCCCCACACACTGCGCTGCTTGCCTCTGGTGGGAGTGGTGGGGAGAGGTGGGGGAGAGGTGGGGGAGAGGTGGGGGAGAGGTGGGGGAGAGGTGGGGGAGAGGTGGGGGAGAGGTGGGGGAAAGAAGGGGCATGTGAACATGGGAGATGAGCATGGTAAAGACGCCAGAGGTGGGTGTAAAACGAGATGAGTGGTGATGCACAACCACCATTGGTCCCACAATGTGGTTGGTTGGACCAATCACACAGTTGGAACCAATCACCTCATTGCTAGTGTGGAGGGCTCCACCACACAAGGGTGGATTGGCATCCCAAAAGGGTGGATTGGCATCCCAAAAGGGTGGATTGGCATCCCAACACAAATATACATCCAAGGTGGGTTGCATGGCCAGCTCGACAGTACAGCACATTTGATGAACAGCCACAACAACTAGCATGGTACCATATGAGTGGCTCAGCGTGGGCTCGGCGTGGTGGGGTGGGGAGACTCACGATGGCATCGAAGGAGAGGAAGTCGTTCTCCTGGATCTGAAACGTCTCCCTCAGATACTCCAGCCGCGCCCTCAGTATTCTGATGCGCGCTCACGACCATGTTAGGGGCACGGGCGGCGGTGAGTGGAAGGGCAGAGGGGTTGAAAGGGCGGGAAGGGGGAGGAGGGAGGCGCACAGGGGAAGGGGCTGTAGGGTGGAAGTGCAGTGCAGTGCTATCATGAAGGGAGGAGGGTGGAAGGATATGTGAGGACAGGAGGTGAAGTTTCGGAAGGAAGGGTTCAAATCTCGCGTGATGAAGCACTTCTCCTTGGTCTACGGGAACAGTCAACTGGAGAAATGGATTGCCGGAGGTAGAGATTGGCAAGACAGTGAGTGTGGCATGACCTGAACGAGTCAAAGTCATTCCGTCAGTGCAAGCTGTGTTCTGACCAGGCGAGCATGATGTGACATGTGCCACTGCCACACGCGCGCAGCACACAGTGCGCACAGCAATCCCTCACAATACCTGCTGAGGGTGTACTGGAAGGGCACGCCAAACATGATAACGAGACGGCCGTAATGGCGGTCAAAGTCAATCCCCTCCGCCACCTTGCCCCTGCCTTGAATGAACGGCACGCGCAGCGGACAGGGGATGGGGAGCGCAGTGGAGAGGGGAAGAGAGGGAGAGGACGCGACCGAATGAAAGTTTCAACAGAGAGTGGGGGAGGATGTATGGCTGCACTGCAATGGCTGGTGTTGATGGTAAGAGATCCCAAGGGAGATCCACACATGCCATGTCGCCTCGCCTGCTTGCAATGAGTTAACCTTGAGTTCAATCGCTGTGGGTGTTAGGCTGTGGATATTGTACACGCGTGGTGGCAGATGATTCCATGTCATCCCAAATGCAAAAAGCATTCCAGCACAAAAATCCAACGAATGTCATTTCAATGTCTTGTGCAAAACTATGCCACCACCTTGTATGGTGACGAATGCAGCTAAAGGCACAATATAGGGCAGCATCCGGCACCTTGTCATGCAGCACACAACCACTGTGTGCTTCACGACCGCATGTACACGGAGGTGCTTATCACAGAGGAAGGGCAATGGAAAGCTCACCGCGCGATGGAGAAGAAGACGCCTCCGCGGCCGCAGTCACAGGCGCGGCGGTAGTTGTCGAGGGCGAGGGTGGTCTCCACGACGTCCTGCGTCTCGATGAACACCAGCTTGTGCTCCATCACCTCCTGGATGGGGGGCAATGGGGGGCACAGGTCATCGCAGGGAGCACGAGAATGGGAGAGGGATGGGCAAAACAAGAATCCGCGCCAGCCCGGCTCGGACGTGGTGAAGCCAGCTGTCTTTCCCGGGGCGAATAGGTTCGACCTGGGGTGGGTGCGGCAGTGGTGATGGAGACCATTGGCCCCACCCCACGTTGCTCGGTGTCAACCCGGTTGCGTGGGGTTGGACTCGGACCTCAGCAAGAGCGAAGCAGGGTGGCTTGACATCGGTCGAAGCAGGGTGGCTTGACATGGGTCGACCGGGTTCACATCGGGCATCGCATGGACCATGGCTGGCTCGAGGCAAAGCGGCCCGGTCATTGCAAGGCACGAGCGCACGACATGAGTAGGCCATGAATGGGTTCGGTTCATGGGGTATGAGCAGGACCAAACAAGGCCAGTTCGTCACGGGCCCATGGGGCAGAGCATTAGGAGGCAGTTGGTGAGAGGCAAACCAGGCCCACCTTGTGCTCATGGTAAGAGGGGCAGCGGACTGGGCATGTCAAGGTGCGCGCCACTGCAACGGTTCACGTTGTCGTGTGCTGTGTGTGGATGAGAACCTCCCGTGGCAGGGAGTGGGTGGGGTGCCATGGGACATGCAATGCAGGTGCGCAGCATGCATGACACAGCAAGGTACCTTCCATTCCACTGCACCCCTTACCTCCATAACTTCCATCCACCTTCGGCTGCCTTACCTCCCGCTTAGGTGGAGATACATGGCGTATGGGCCATGGCTTGGGGCATTCTCTTATACCTATACCCCAAACCTGGAGAGCCAAACCTTGTCTCGGCCACACAGGGAGTGCTAAACCCTGAGCCCCACCTTGGGAATGCCCCACCTTGGGAATGCCCCACCTTGGGAATGCCCCACCTTGGGAATGCCCCACCTTGGGAATGCCCCACCTTGGGAATGCCCCACCTTGAGGATGCCCATGTCATTCCAGCTGTTGACGATGCCATCCATGTACGCGTAGCTCACAAAGAAACAAACGATGCCGTCCGGCACGCACGCGGCCATGTCCACGAGCAGGCGCCCGTAGTTGCGCACCACACCGGGGTCACTGCGCATGTCAAAGCGTGTGCTCAAGGGCAGCTGGTCGCTGGTGGGGGTGTGTGGGTAAACAGTGTTCACAGGGTGCAGAGATTAGGGTTGTGTGTGAGAAAGAAACGATAGGTTTCAGCTGCCTTACCTCCCTGTGTGACAAGCAAAGTGACACAGTACTGGGGCAGTAGCACAGGGAGGAATCAGATGCACAGACTGTGAGAGAGTGGAGGATTGGTGTGGAGAGAGAGGCGGTCTCCACAGTACCACTGCACCACTGATAGCTGCTCTGTCCCACCTACCTTACTGACCTCATGTCACGACAAGAGTGCAGAGGAAACACTCTCCCACACATGAACACCCCCCCTTACTCTCACGCACAACAACCCGCCCTCACCTCACCTGCCGCGGGTGACAACGAGCGGGCAGAGGCAGTCACGCGAGAGCGACATGGAGAGGGAGCGGATGCAGACGGGGTGGAAGTTGAGCAGGCGCGGGTACAGGTCGATGGGGCTCAGCGTGCCGCTAGTTATTATCACACTCTGAAACCGCTCAAACGTGGGCCGGATGGCCAGTGACGCGTCCAAACAGCTGAGCTGCAGGGAGGGGGGAGAGGAGTGGGCACGGACAGGGATGGGGGCCGGAAGGGGTGGGCACGGACGGATGGAGAGGGGTGGGGGCGGAGGGGGGTGGGGGGCGGAGAGGAGGGAGTGAAGGGTGGTGAAATCATGAGTGAATGAAAGGGGAGTACGACACACGGCGAACACACAAGGGCCCATGTCAGTACGAGAAGGAAAACGAGGGGGAGTGAGAGCAGGAGCGGGTGGGAGTATATGAGGGGCATAGGAATGAAGCTGGCATCCAAGGGAGACAATAGCAGCACCACCCACCCGCAGCACCACCCACCCGCAGCACGACCCCACACACACCAGCAACACCCTACCTGCAACCCTGCAGCACCCCACGTGCAGCAACCTGCCAATGCCATCGTACCTGCAGCACGGGGTCAGCTAGTTGCGGCTGACGCTCATCGTAGGGCTCGATGATGATGGCGAAGCCCCTGGTGTACGTGCCAACGAGCGTGGCGAGGTCACACACGCACTGCAGGTGGCCCATCTCGTCCACCTCCGCCACCTGCAGCGTCAACAGCAGCGACTGCAAGCGGTCGTAACACAGCTGCAGACTCTTGCTCTCTATGCCTGTCGCTGCCTGTAGCACGCATGTACACGGGCAGGGCAGGCGTGCAGGAAGGTGAATGGAAACGTAAATCCATGGCATTCGTGTCATGGCACGTAAAGAGAACAAGTGCAGGCGACACATGCAATGAGGGCAGGTGTGTGGCGTGGCGTTGACTCACTCGCCTGCAGCGCATGCAGGAAGGCGAGTGGCCCTTCGGACTCGACGCGCGTGGTGTTGAGGCGCGTCTGCAGGTAGGTGAGGAAGCGGCGCAGGAAGGCCAGGAAGTGCTCTGCTCGGCGGATGTTGCCCGGCACCGCCTCCTGTAGGATGTCCGCTGGTAGCAGTGGATTCGCCAGCCACGTGTCCGATGCTGATTGGCGGGATGATGCGGACGGGGAGAAATTTGGCAGGGTGAGAGGGCGAGGGAGTGAGATGGTTGGTTGGCACAGCAGGAACTGGGGAGAGTGATGGCTGCACTGGAGGTACGTGGTAGGGCGACGGTAGTGGGTGTGCGAGGGAACAGGGAACAGGGAACAGGGAACAGGGAACAGGGAACAGGGAACAGGGAACAGGGAACAGGGAACAGGGAACAGGGAACAGGAAACAGGGAACAGGGCACAGGGAACAGGGGATGAAGGTCGGGAAAGAGGGGACGGGAGACGGGAGTGGGGAGACTGGAGAGGCGAGACGTCAGAGGGGGGAGGGGAGAGGGGAGAGGGGGGAGGGGAGTGAGGGGGGAGGAGGAAAAAGAGGGAAGGAGCGGAAGAAGAGATAAGAATGTTGTCTGGGCGTCAGTGAGTGTTGGCCACAAGAAACTGGCATTCGAACCATATTTTCAAATCACCTGCCAATTTAATCCTCTGTTCCAGGCAGCTGGCAAGTACCTTGGGTGGCAATCACCTGGCAGGTTGCCTCTCTGCGCCAGTCCATCCACCAGCCGGCGGTACTCCTCCTTCAGCCTCTCCGCATCCGTTGCCTTGAACCTGGTGGACGCACGGCACATACACGTGCACTGCACCTTGGGATTGCGCAGTAAAACCACAATAGATAAGCACACTGGGGTCGCAAAAAGGACTCATGCAGACTGCCAGGTTGAGTCGAGGTAAGACGGGAATTGACCCGTCTCAACTTGACTTGACTCTAGCTCGCAAAGACTTGACTCTAGCTCGCAAAGACTTGACTTGCATAATAATGCACAAACACATGCATGGACTCAAGCACGAGCAGGCTACAAAACCCGAGACGGAACATAATGCAGCGAAACAACCCCTCCCTTCCTTTCTCTCCCTACTCTTCCTCTCTCCTTCCATTACCTCTACAACCTAACCTGTTATCAGTAGTCCCATTCCCTCGCCCCCTCCCTCTGCCTTCCTCTCCCTCCGCTTCCCCTCTCCCTCCGTTCCCCCTCCCTCTATCTCTGCTGCCCCCTTCACTCTGCCGCCCCTCTCACTCTGCCCCCCCTCTCACTCTGCCCTTCCTCGCCCTCTTGTCCCCCTCACATGCTGCTCCCTGCCCTCACCTCTCAATCCCCGTACTGAGTACAACAAGCAAGCGTTCCAAGGTCCCTCCCCCTTCCCGCTCCCACCTCTCACCGCTCAATGGTTGTGTTGAGCCGGGCGAGGTTCCGATGCGCCCCATCGATGGTCTGCTGCCGCACGTTCACACTTAAAGCCTCGATGCACACGTTGTCGATGTTGTGTGCCTCGTCGAACACCACAATGCTCTCCCTCTCCAGCTCCCTCGAGATTATCCCCGACACCTTGGGGTCCAGCAGGTACTGGTAGTTGTACACCACCACGTTCGCGAAGTTGATCATGTGCCGCGCCAGGAAATACGGGCACCACCCCTTCTCCCGCCCGAACGCCCGCAGGTCCTGCAGCGTGTACACTCCGGGCGGCAGGGCGGCCTCTTGTCCTGTGCGGTCAAACTGGTCAAAGTAGGTGCACACCTCGATGTCGGGGTTCTCCAGCGCGGCGGCGCGCACCCACGACGCCGTGCGCTTGCGGCACCCCGCGTCCACGCTCTCGCGCGACCCCTCCCCCGCCACCACCGGGTGGATGCACAGATTCTTGCGCGAGCTCAGGCCAAGCGCTAAAATCCGCGGAACTCCGCTTGCGCCTTTCCTTTCTGCGCCGTTTCCCCCCGCGCCGGCGGCGGCGTCCCCCGCGAGTGCGGACTGCTGGTAGGCGTGCAGCAGGCGCAGCTCGGCGAGCGCCTTCTCCATCTCGTGCACGGTGCGCGTGCAGTACACAAGCTTGCCCGTGCCCTTGCGCGCCATCTGGTACGACGTGATGAGCGACAGCAGCGTGATCGTCTTGCCCGTGCCTGTGGGCATTTCCAGCAGGCAGTGGCCCTTGGCGTCCAGCGTACGTTTCAACTCCACCATGTACTCGTACTGCTCCGGGTAGATGTACTCGTACGGGAAGTACACGTCGAGGTCCTCTATTCGGAACTTCATCGCGGCTACTCTGGCCCGGAATAAGATTCCTGTGAAGGTATTATCGGTCAATTCGCGACTATAGTACGTATGCAACGGTGACTTGGCAACGGTCACTCCGCACCAACACCTCAGGCCGACGCATAAATGAGGCCTCAATGGTAAGCACGTGAATGGCGGGTAAGCGGGCGGGTCGCCGTTGTGTACGGCTGTTCGGGTCACCCTAGGGCGCGTGCCCTTGATGGTCAAAGTTCGAAAAAACGGTCAAACTTAGAGTGGTAACCAAATCAACATAGTAATAAGGATAGCGAAGTTCGTAAACATAGGGCCAAATCATGTAAACAAACCAGGTCGAGCTTACAGGGCCCTGTTCGCGACTACGTTTTCCAAACATGTTCACTTTTGTACAGGTTTGATGAAGCTGCGAAACAAAAAACATCATCGCGTGCACTACAAACACCGTGGCTGTAACCACAAGACGGTTCTGTTTCTCCGTTCCATGTTTTTTCGCAAGACTAAGCGAAGCTGCGGAACTCAGGCTCGGGTGACGTCATTATCCGAACCTTTGAAAGCAGGTTCTCACCCTCCGTTGCTCCCATAACCATTTGCGTCGAACAGGGTGCTTTCGAGGCTGCTAATGGCGTATCACGGTTGGTTGGTGGCATCCGAAATCCCTGGACGACCAATGGGGTGCATTTCAGTTCTTGTCAACCATAGTGCTGGAAACCAATGGTCGTCCAAGAATTCCGGATGCCACCAACAGTACTCTCACACAAGGCGAGATACGCCCTAACTAAATCGGCTTTCCATCGGTTCCTGAGTGCTCTGCTCAGCTGCTTTGCTTCTGATTTTGTTGGGACAGGACCCGTCGAAGGTACCTTTATACCTCGATCTTCCTTGCCTCTTGGACCCACCATTATTTCGGTCGAAGCTCTAGGTTTCCTCGTCTCAGCACAGACTTTATTTATCTTGCACGCCGATCCGATCCGATCCGATCCAGTTTGGTGCGGTGCGGTGCGGTACGCAGCGATGTTGAACATGACAGCAGCAGAGGCAGAGCAGATGCTGGGTCGGCCGCTCACGACAGCGGAGGCGGTGTGGCTGGAAGCGACCCGCGGAGTGGCGGACTACCAGCTCTACTGCTGCACCGTCGTGCTGCTCGTCATTCTCTACACGCTCGCGTGCCTGCCGTACGCGATATTAGACTACCTCCGCCTGCCCTTTTTCGAGCAGTATCGCCTGCAGCCCGCGGTGTACCACTCGCCGGAAGATTCGTGGAAATGTTATAAAGACGTGATCGGTGTTATGGTCACCACGATCCTCCCCCTTCAGCTGCTCTCCTATCCTTTCTTCAAGGTGCGGTCCCCTTCAGCTGCTGTCGTATCCTTTCTTCAAGGTGCGGTCCCCTTCAGCTGCCCTCCAACCGATTTTCTCTTTTCCGATAGCTCATTCAACTCTCAAGCGCCCCCACTGCCCCATAGAGTTGCGCTGATCGCCCCCCTCCCCTGGACCCGCCTTGGTCCAATGACGCGCCTCACTCACTCCCCCAGCCAACCCCCTCCGCCATGCCCTTCCGCTCTTACGGCTGTCCCCTCCCCCATCCCCTCACCTTCCTCTTGGACCTTCTCCGCCCATCCCTGTGCGACTCCGCCCATCCCTGTGCGACTCCGCCCATCCCTGTGCGACTCCGCCCATCCCTGTGCGACTCCGCCCATCCCTGTGCGACTCCTCTTCCTCCTACACTACGCCTTCCCTACTCCCGTTCTCAACCCCTCTCCCAACCCTTCCCCCATCCCCTCCCCGATCTCCCCCCCCTTATTCCCCCCCGAATCCCCCACCTCCCTGCTCTCTTCTCTCCCTCCCGGGGCGACCAGGTGGCGGGCATCACGGCGTCGCTGCCGCTGCCCACGCTCTCCACGCTGGCGCTGCAGCTGGGCGTGTTCCTGCTGATCGAGGACTATGGCAACTACTGGATCCACCGCCTCTTCCACCACCCGCTCCTCTACAAGCACATCCACTACAAGCACCACGAGTACACGTCACCCATGGGCGCCGCTGCCACGTACGCGCACTGGATTGAAGTGCTGCTGCTGGGCGTGCCAACGCTCGTGGGGCCCGCGATCGTGCAGTGCCACGTGGTCACGCTGTGGGCGTGGATCCTGCTGCGACAGCTGGAGGCCATTGAAACGCACTCAGGGTGAGCGGAGGAGGGGGGAGGGGAGGAGTGGAATGGGGGAATGGGGGAATGGGGGAAGGGGGGAGGACCGCTTGTGGTGACACATGTTGTTGGGGATCAGGGTGGCATGTGGGGGGATGGCCTTGGTGCTCTGTTCATGTGGTCACGCTGTGGGTGTGGATTCTGCTGCGACAGCTGGAGGCATTTGAGACGCACTCCGGGTGAGTAGGGGAGGGGGAACGGTGAGTGTGGGGGAGGGATGTGGGGGTGGGGGGGGGATGGAAGGAGGGAAGGGGTAGTGGGGGAATGGAAAGGGGGGATGGGATACTGGTGGAGAGAGCGATTAGGGGTCGGGCGGGGTGCCATGTGGGGCGGCTGTGTGCCTGCAATATCCACGTGCTCACATCCACTGTGGGCGTGGGAAAGGGAAGGGTGCGGTTGGTTGGGGACACACAGGTTGGTTGGGGATAGGGGTGGCATGCGTTGCCTTCACACTGCTGCGCTATTGGCGTGGTGATTTGGTGGGTGTAAATGCATCTGCCCCTCCTTCCCCCTCTCCTCTTGCCCCCCTCTCTTCCTCCCCGTCTTCCTGCCCCGCAGGTATAACTCGTTTCTTGCAGGTATAACCCTCCTCTTACCACCCCCCCTCCCTCCCCTTCCCTCGTCCCCACTCTGTTACTTACTTACACCCAACCCCGGCCGATAACAGGCGAAGGTACGCCTTCCCCTGGTGGCTGACGTGTGTCATCCCGTTCAACGGGGCCGCTCACACCTGCCATCCTCACACCTGTCATCCTCACACCTGCCATCCCCACACCTGTCATCCTCACACCTGCCATCCCCACACCTGTCATCCTCACACCTGTCATCCTCACACCTGCCATCCCCACACCTGTCATCCTCACACCTGTCATCCTCACACCTGCCATCCCCACACCTGTCATCCTCACACCTGCCATCCCCACACCTCTCCTCTCAAAGCCCTGGCCGCACCCAAACCTCCCACCCCCTTGCTTCCGTCCGTCCCCTCCCTGTCCGTATCACTGGCAGGAGCGACTTCCCCTGGTGGCCAACGCACGTGGTCCATTTCTACGGGGGCCTTCCCACGTATGTTCCTCACACCTCTCCTCTCATATCACCCTCCACACCAACCCCCCGACCCCCCTCCCCTTTCTTCCCGCCTCCCCCTTTCTTCCCCCTCCCCCTGTGTCTGCCCTGTGCCCCTGGCAGGTACGACTTCCCCTGGTCGCCGACGCGGCTGATCCCATTCTACGGGGGCCCGCGCTTCCACGACTACCACCACGAGGTGGGCGGCGACAGCCACTGCAACTTCGCCTCCATCTTCACCATCTGCGACTGGCTCTACGGCACTGACAAGGTGAGATGCAACTGGCTCTACGCCACTGATAAGGTGCGATGCGACTGGCTCTATGCCACTGATAAGGTGCGATGCTATGGGCGCATGAAAGCAATGATGAGGCAATGGGTTAGTGTACTAAACCAGGAATTTGAGGGCAAAACAGGAGACGTGAAGAGAAAGTGTGCTCTGGTTGGAACCCATGCATCATTGCCAGCCAAGGTGACATGAATTTGTGATTTGCATTTGCTGGCAAGGTGATATATATTCGTGTGTCGCAAGTGTGCTGACTGTTTAGAAGACTATGCGACTGACAGGTGCTTGCTTCACAAGCCATTCAGCTGGTGTCTCTCACTTGCTCCAGAACATGCTACATGCTATGCATGCACTGCACGACTGCTCATGTGAGTCGCATTTAAGGATGCTCAGAAGCGACTCAGATCTTTCCCACATCGTCCCATTCATGCAGAGCTGTGTCACACTCTCTGTCTTATCTGCCATGCCACCTAGTGTAGTGTTGCACTGCGTTTGGCATCACAGAACCACTTTCAGTCTCTCTCCTCTCCTCCACGGCTCGCATGTGCGCTGCCATACCTGCTGCAGGGCTGGGTCCATGCGTGCAGGGCTGGGTCCATGCGAGGTGAGGCGTTCAGTGGAGAGCTGTGAGGCGGCTCAGTATGCACTCGCCTCTCCCTTCTCTCCTCTCCGCTGTGCGCCCCTCAACCCCTGTGTGCCATGCCTGCAGGGTTACTATGCCAATGTGGCAGCTGAGGAGAAGATGAAGGCGAGCCTTTCGCTGGGGGAGTCGTGAGGCATTTCAAAACTCACTCTCCTCTCTCCTCTCCGCTGTGCCCCCCTCAACCCCAGTGTGCCATGCCTGCAGGGCTACAGTATGCCAAGGTTGCAGCTGAGCAGAAGATGAAGGTGAACCCTTCACTGGGGGAGTTATGAAGCGTTTTCAAAGCTCACTCTTACTCCCTGTGTGCCGTGCCTACAGGGGTACTATGCCAAGGTAGCAGCCGAGGACAAGATGAAGGTGAGATGTTTACTGGGGGGGGCTTTACTTGTTTTAGGGGTTAGGGGTTGGACTGGGTGGGGGTTGGACTGGGTGAGTAGCTGCAGGGGGGCTTCATCCAACAGGGTCATGCACGCTTCTGGGACCCAACCCAAGGAAGGTAGATTGGTTGGGATAGTTTGGTGTTATGTTTGAATGGTTGGTCATTGACTGTCACAAAGACTTGTGCATCTGCATGGCTAGCTGCGTGCTTTGCCATCTATGGTACTTCCTATCGTGCTTCGTCCCTCGAGTTCACTGTTGCTCACTAGTGCTGACTGATGTGATCCTCTGCCTTTGTTATGCTTGCAGAAATTACGGGCAGAGAAGACAGCTCTGAAAAGGGAGTAGAGTTATCCTCGTCCCAAAATTTGAGAACTTGAAATGAGAAACAGGTGTTAGTTTCCCTACCTGGCTATGTATTGAATTGGACC